TACTAGTAAATAACAAGTGGGGATATTGATTGATAAGACTAATCAGATCTGATAGCTGCAAAAGTCCACAGACAATTGAGAAATTGTCCGACCAAGGCATCCGGAAGAGTTTAGTTTTTAATTTATTCCAAGGAGTTATGGATAGAATTCGTAGGTGTAATTAATCCCTCAAATTCAATCGTTTCTCTGAGCCATGGGAGATGCATATTCCCCGACCAATAGGAATTTTTTGGTGAGGTTCCCAGCTTGTTGGTGCAAGTAGCTGCAAGCGAGTTCTGCTGCATAAAATTTTCTTTTTCTCGTGCCAATATGTTATTGGGAATAGAGCTGGGCTGTTTTGGGAGTTCTCGCCACCATACAGTAGTCTAGTCCGTAGTCCGAGTCGTATGATAATCGCGCAGTCTAGCCCGAACCAGAGTTACCACCGACGAGTATCTAATCTAATCTGATTGTCGCTTGATGGAAGAGATTCAGCTGGAACCTGAAATTTGAGTCAAGTTTTGGGCTCTGAAACGAATCGAACCTAAACCGTACTTAGAGAGTCCATTCGTCTTGCACGTGGCTTTCGTGGGATTATTCGGGCTGTTCTTGCATGCAACAAGGTTCGAGCTTAGTATGCAGGGTAGCTGGAGTGTAACTGTAGCTGGCGGATGGCGTACTGTACGCAGCAGCAGCGCTGGCTGAAATGATTGACATTCTACATGCCTCATTGAACCTATTGCTTGAATTCATTTCCACCAGAATAAACCTATTTATGGATCATTCGACGCGCACTTAAGGATAGCTACTGTGTTAATGACAGCCTCCTTCCTGCCCAGTAATGCTGCAAAACCAGACCGTCATTCCTCCGTACATCTAGTCCCCCTCTCTTGCCTCTGCCTTTCCTCCCGCTAAATTCTCCTACTATCCGGCGGCAGCTGGGCCAAGAAAACGGCAAGTGCATTAGGGTTACACCGTGTACCATCTAATACTTGTATTGAAATGAGGTGTAATCCACAATGTCAATTCAGTACCCAACTGTCACCACTTTACCGTATACACTCACCCACACCAAAACAACCGTGTCTCACTCAAGTTATCTGATTGACCCCACCAGCATCCGCACCATCCCAAAAACCCCCTGCCTAAACAAAAGCTATAATAAAAAGATTAAAGAAAATGAAGTCAAGCTAGGAGATTCTATGACTCATTTTTATTACATCCGAGCAAACTTTTACCTATTACCGAAGGACAGCAGCTGGTCCTCGCTAAGAAACCTGATCCTGCCAAGCAACTTATCTCGGATCAGATAACTTTTGTTTCCAGTCACACCAGTCACATGTTACCCGGCCTCGGACTAGTGGATTTTACATCGCGCTTACGGTGGGCATTTCGGAAGCGGCCATCGGGCATATGTGTATTGTGTCATTTCACTGGTCCGAAGATCGCACCCTGGGGGAAGTCGACGTGGGCCTGTTATTGGAGGGTTATGTCTTTATACCGGTCATATGCCTCCTTTCTAGGCTGGCCACATTATAGTGATGGGTTCAACAACCGCAAGGGGGTTGCCAAAAAGCAAAGGAATTTGTATACAAAAAGGCCACTGTTGATAATTTACAATGTGATACAAGCCCAGAAGTAATATAGTTGCAAGTGATTATGTATAGTGAATTTGTGGATTGGAGTCCGCGACGGGTCTTGTGCAAATGCTCTATCCCAGATCACCTTTGCGAATGGAAGATGCTGCTGATATGCTAGCCAGGCGTTCTCCACACTAGTAGTATTGCAACTGAGTTATCCTGTATTAGAAAGGGTCTTTGATGTTTTACGCCAAACGCGGTCTCCAGTGTTGTCGAAATGGTTGATCGAAAAGGTGCAAAAGTCTTGACTAACGGTAGCTGTCGGGGCCATTTCAGTGTTTTGCTTACAGCCGTGCTTATTTGCTACCATGTACTTAGGCTTCAAAGCCCGGAAGTACCCACAATTCGCCTAGTGAGAAGAGCCGTGCCGTATGAACCCTTCGGAGGTTGAAGAGGCAGATGTCGGGTTTTCCTTGTACTCTGTATTTCACTGATACTGTGGCTGTAGCACTCATGCCTCCACAGGTCCCACCCTCACCTCTTCGCGTCTCCGGAGTTCGGCCAACTCCTGTGCTTTCTCATCGGCAGCCCGTCGCTTTTTCTGCCTGCTCGCGAACCGCTTCTTTCCACCAAACTTGAGCTTCGTAATCAGGTCTGCGGCCTGGCCCCGGGTCAAATCTCCAGGCGCAATCCGGCCATTCCGAATTTTGGCTTTATTTAGCATCGTTACCTGTGCTGAAGTGGCCGGATGCTGACGCCAGGGCTGCCGGGTGGAGATATACCTTTCATCAAACTCAGAGGCTGCGAAGGTATCAGCGGCACGAACTGTGGATTCAAAGTCCATGCCAGTAGCGATCAGACGTGGTCGAGTGTATTGGGTCGATTCGGTAGCAGACTTGAACTTCATCACATGGTGAACTGTGTATGTAGCTGACGGATCAGCTTTTTGTCCCTTGTTAGATGTGTTCTTAGTCTTCTCGAGGGTTATCCATCCTGTTGAGTCAGACAGTGTGTATTTATCCTCATCTACGCGGACCCAGGCGTAGCGGCTGAGGGACCGGATATGCTTCTCAGACTTCATATCATGAATGAGGTCGTAGATGGTATCGTACTTGGTGAAGGTGAGTTTGATGTCGTCGGTTGTGTCGGGTTCCTCAGTGGGTGTGTTTGTCTCTGGCGGATAATCGGTGCGATCTTCGGCACCCGTTGAGGCATCCTTCTTCTCTCTCAGGTCCTTTGCTCTCGCGTTTTCTAGAAGTTCGTCTGGGTGTAGTCCAAAGAGTGTAGGGGTAGAAAGGACCCCAGTGTCCAGGGTAGCCACCATGTCAATTATATGGCAGTCCTTCTTCCCAGGGTGCAGTCGTAAGCCTCGTCCGATCATCTGTATGAGAAGATTGCGAGACCGTGTCGGACGCGCCAGCAGGACGCAGTCAATATTGGGAATATCTGTACCTTCTGTGAATAAGCCACAGTTAAGAAGCACGGGATACTCCTGATTCTTGAAAGCACGCAGCTGTTCATCGCGCACATCCCTTGGAGTTCCCGCCGTGATATACCGAGCGTCAAAGCCCAGTGCGCGGAACGCCTCAGTAAGCTGTCTGGTGTGTTCAACGTCGACACAAAATACCAGTGTAGACTTTCGATCATGTGCGTTAGCCAGCCATGCGCGTACAGTGATATCATTGGTTCTCGTAGTATTGACGGCTTCAGAGAGCGAGCTGATAGCGAAGTCACCGAATTTGTCTTTCCTAACGCGTGAAAGATTGGCTTCCGACCGAACAGTGGTAAAGATGGCATTAGAGAGCCACTTTTCGTCAATCATATCCATGTAATCCTTGTGATATACTATATGGTCGATTGCGGCACCTAATTTGAGTCCATCGAAGCGTGAGAACGTGGCAGAGACTCCGACAAGAGCCGGCGAGTCTGGCGAAGGGTTATTGAGGCCAAAATGTTCTAGTGCAACCCGGTACGTCGGTGCAACGATATGATGTGCCTCATCCACCAAGACAAGTTTAAAACGTCTAGGATCAAATTTGGAGATCCTATCCTTGGAGGTGAGACTCCGTATGGAAGCAATGATGATATCCCCAGAACCGGAGGCGACACTATTACCCATCTCAATCTCTACATCTCGATTGGGGTAGGCAAGGCGGCAGTGTCGGGCAGCTTGCTCAACTAGCTCTCTTCGGTGAACCAGGATAAGGGTCTTGTCATGGACACCATTACGCGGCGGTATTCGTCCGATTAATTGGGTGAAGATGACCGTCTTCCCCGCGCCTGTGGCAAGCGAGACACCTAGACGTTTGTGACCCTGGGCCAGATGATCCAGCACCGACTGGATGCATTCTTCTTGGTAGTCGCGGAGAACAATCAGCGGGGGTTCTGCTGGGGCTGTAATTGCTGAGGGAAGGGCGTCGGATGTTACTGTAGAGCGGAAGCGCAGGTGCGGATAATGGATCGACGTAAGGGACCACCGCGGACCTCTAAAAGCCCTCAGGACACTGGAAACAGGATACCTCCCCAGTTTCTGGCGAAGGCGATCCATTCAGATGCCATGAAGCAGAATCAATTCGTGAGAGCCGTGCGAGTGACTTCAGGCTGGATGCAAGTATGGTGATGGGAAGCTGTTCGGCATCGGAAAGCAATTATTCCGAAGAAGCTTGAGATGAGGCTCTCTCTCGCGCGCGATCATGTGACTGTAGCTTTTACGTTATTTCCCCGAACAAGAAGACCCACAGGCCACCCAGTAATACTAAATTAATTCTTTGAAAGGTCCACCGTATTGTATACGGGGTATATAAAGTGAAGTGTTATGTATGACCGATAAATGAAAGCGTTCATTAATTCCCTACTACTTAACTCCGTAGCTCCAACTTATTTTTTTCTCTGATCGCTTCGCCGCCCTCTTTTCCTACGGCAGAATTCGGGACTGGAACCCCTAGGCGGTGAGCATTACTTCGATGAGTCAGCAGAGAGCAAGCGGGACGACAATTTCTCATCTGCGTTCAACCCATTCCGGACTCGAGAATACTCAGCGGTCCTTGAAGTGCTCTCACCCAGCACTTGCTTGCACGCCAGCCCAAGTGCCTTATCGAACTAATTATATTCCCACCCCCTCTTAGAATACCCTAAATTCGGTCAGTGCTTCTACTCCTGCCCTGTTTTGCCCCCCGATTCCCTTTTTGGTAATTCTCCTGCTTTTCCACCAATCTCCCTCTATTCAACTCTCGCCTCAGGCGGGATCGACGCCTCACACTTCATATTTCATACTCCCCCATATATACGGCTATCCGGGGTGAAACTATCCTGTCCCTTCACTTTACTGTCTTTACTATCCACCACCCTCACGATCATTGTCGCCATGATGGACTGTGCTGGTAACCCAACTAACACTAACATGCAGTCTCGTGACTGGTGCATCCGGCTCACGGTATCATCATGCCTGCCGTACACGGGGACTTGATGACCACGGTCGTCCCCACGGAGAAGGAGTTGCCCCTTGACATTGTGCCGCGGCAGGTCATACTCAGGGACCGAGTCACGGTCGCCACGCTGGTCCCCTTCACTTCAGCGGATGCGATCCCCCGATCTCTATTAGCTTACCTATCCGATCAGTTGAACAAGGAGATTGAAGGTGGTGATACCTATGCCATGATTGATCCCATCCCCTTGGAGCAGTTTGGGCCGTATTGGTTCTCCAATTTTGGCGCGATCATGCTCATGGGGGACATCAAGAGTGTGCAAGAGGTTCAAGCACTGGGTCGGAACCGCGCCAATTGGTCCAAGATCTGCTTGGGCAGCTTCAATATCCGTCCCAATTATCCCGGTCGTAGTAGTCACGTCTGCAATGGCATGTTTCTGGTCACCGACGCCGCCCGAAACAAAGGTGTAGGTCGACTGATGGGGGAAGGGTATCTCGAATGGGCTCCTAAGATGGTTAGTATACCAAATACCAGTAATCTTGACTCAAACCACTATTCCTGTTGCCTATCATAACTACTTAGTACTCCCCCTTAGCCACTTCTTACCCTACCTCATCGTTACGGTCTTTGACCTAGTAGACATCCGGCTAACGTTCAACAGGGGTACACATATGCGGTCTTTAACCTGGTCTATGAGAGTAACGTGGCATCTTGCCGCCTGTGGGATGCTCTGGGGTTTAAGCGGATTGGCAGGGTCCCCGGGGGTGGTCGGCTCATTTCCAATCCCGGGCAGTACGTAGATGCTATCATCTACGGCCGGGATCTAGGCCCGGAAGGGGAAGATTCTGTCACACAAGATCGGTTTGACAAGATCCGATACTATCTCAAGCATTCCAAGTATCCTAGGGGGGCTGACCGGGCCGAGAAAAGTCGGCTTCGGAGTGCAGCTACCCACTACAAGTTGATCGGAGGTAAAGATGGGGACGGTGAGAAATTGATGCTGAAAGACAAGGAGGTTGTGTCCGACCCGCAGCAGCAGTACGATATTGCCCGGGAGATGCATATGCAGCAGCATGCAGGTATCAACAAGACCACAGCTGCCATTGCGGTCAAATACCATTGGGTGCGGATTAAAGAAACGGTCAGTCGGGTGATCCGGGACTGTCCACAGTGTAAAGAGATCCTCAAGCCGCCTTTAATTAATGGGATTATGCACGAGGGTACCCCCGAAGATGATGAGGACGATCTGGGAATCGATGAGGCTGACTTGGCGGAGAATGATGTTGACATGGCATCCAGCGATCCTATGGGTACGCATGCGCTGATGGACCACGCCGCCATGGATGCTCACAATACGAACCCATTTGTGACCGCCCATTCGGTAGTGCAAGGATCAGTGGATTCCATCACCGATTACACGGGCTTGCCGCTCGACCCACAAATCATCGACATACATCAGCAGCTCCCTCGATTTCATACTCATGATACTATGACCGATCCATATACCCACGCTGCACATAGTTTACATGCATCAAGCTTCGAAAATGATGTCCGTCATCATGCGACCCATGACTATCATATGATGGTTGATCATCCCACCGACCCTGATCCGTCCGCGGCGCTTCATCAAGAAGTATTGGGGCTGGTACATTCTCAGGCACACGACGTCCATCACGAGCAGATTCTGGCGAAGTATCAGTACGTGGATCAGCCGGATGATGGCCTGGATTTCACATGACATACATCCCTGTTTCTTTTACTTATACCTTTTACTTCGTCACCATCTCTCTTTCACATCTTTCATCGGGTCCTTTCCTTGCTGGACCTACTCTCAGCAGTACTAAGTTAGGGTTTTATGCATATTTCTCGGCGTTGGTTAAGGTTGGAAGGAGTTGGTCTGTTATGGAATGCTGAGCTATTATATTAGACATGAACTGAATGTCAGTGTTTACGGAGCGCGATATAACTAAAGATGAATGTATCATATATTAATCAATCACAATGATGACGCCATGCCATGAACACGCTTCCCTGGTTCTTAAGTATCACCACACACCAATTCAAGATATGACTTCAAGCTTCATGACATTTCGGGCACCAAAGACTTGTTGGCCAAAGCTTTCGCGCTGAATAATCGTACGGTCAATTGTCCAGTATCGAATTTTATAATGCCGTTGAGGGAGTCGGATTTGCGATTTACGCTACAGAGAAGATCTCTGCTTCGACTCAAGTCGTTCCTGGTGATCATATGCGCTCCCTTGACGAGTGGTTCTACAGACAGCAAATGAACCTACCACCTGAAAAACTCGCTGCTTTACCACTACCAGTGGTCTCTAAACCAGCTGGACAGCATCATATAACACAACTTTTCACAGGATAGCAATGATAAGAGATAGTCAGATCAATGATACACTAATATACAATGCCTTTATACATATGGTAGGACAGGCAACTATAACTACACAGAACGAGAAACCACATAAACCCAGCCCATATCATCAACGCCGCCTATATCATGCAAGCCCGCTAAAGAAAAAGGCCGTCAACAGGCCCTGCGAAATGGTTTCACTTTTCCAAAAATGCCGATTATTTCTCCTCCTTTGTTTCCTTTTCATCTCCCTTTTGGCCCCAATTCCATACATCCCATATATGCTCCTTGATCAGGTCACCATATCCTTTGCCCTCCTCCAAGGCCTTCTGTTCCTCCCTTATTCTTCTCTCCTTCCACCCCTCCGTCTCACCACCCATCCAGATTTTCTCCAAGGCCGGCTTCTCCTGTGCTTGCCTAGCCTTCAGCCTCTCCAATTCCTCGCCCACTGCTGACCCCTCTCGGATCTGTGCATCCCTCGCTGCCTTCAACTTGGCTTGTATCTCCTGCGCCCGTTGGCTTGGCAGATCCGACAATGCTGTAATAGGGTTCCTTGAGATCCGGGCCTCGATCCGATCCACGATACTCCGCCCGGTGTGTTCGCGTGTGAGATGGTTTGCCGAAACACAGAAGGCGCTGGTCAGAAGAACCGTCAGGTTATCAAGCTTTCGAGGTGGTAGGGCAATGAGAACAGGCGATGCAATGAGAAAGGTGTATGCGGCCGCGGTTTTGAACCGCTCGTAGTCGGCTTCTCTGCGTGACTGGAGATCGTCTGTTGAAGATGGTGTGGTCATTTTGTTGATGGCGGATTTGTTGCCTTTAGCCTTTGGGGTATTGCGTAATGATGGTTATTATGGTAGGAGTCAACAGACTCAAGTAGAGCTTTGGGGCGTATTTGCGATTGTAATTGTAGTGGTCGTAGATCGTTTATCGCATCTTCTTCGAAGGAAATTTACGGCAGGTGATCCAGACCGATGGCGCAGTCAGGTGACAGACACCCTTCGACTGTCATTCATATGGAATTTTCACGTGATGTGTTCTGGCAAGCATATCGTCCAGCCATCGTTACTAAGAATTCCTGGAACAATCGTTATCAATATAGGGGCAATTTTTATTTTTGCTTTCTCTATTGAGTTTGAGGCCATGTGCGATGTGACAGTCAAAATCAAACACAATAGTATTAACAGACCGTCAACGGTGCACATGATCCATATGTAAACAACACAGACGCCTCAGGCAGAAGGTGGATCCTTGATCAACCAGCCAAACAGTACATCATCCACCGCATTCTTGACCTCCTTGCATGTTCAGCAGCTCCAAGCCCAAAATGCCCTCCCCCTCATCGATTTCACTGTCCACATCTCTCTTAACCGCAGGATACCTCGCCTTCCGCGGTCTCACTCCTCCAAACCTTCCTTCCAGCTCCAAGGGTAATGGGCCGCCAGACCGTATTCGTCTGCTTGCCGGCTCGATCACCACCATCATACTACATCTCAATACGGCCTGCATCATCTACCACGCTCTTCTTGCGCTGTTCTATATAGATCGCAGTAACAATAATGCTAAGGGGCTGACCAAATCTGGCGATGGAGTGTACCTCCAAGCAATCTGTCCCCACCGGACCAGCCTCGCGCCGCATCTCTTCACCTGGACTATCACATCTACACTCTGCCTCGTTTCCATCATCGTGGGCGCCTTGCTTCGGCTCTCTGCATTCAAATTTCTAGGTCGGAACTTTACCTTCCAGCTGGCGCAACCCAATACCCTAGTAACTGGGGGTTTGTACCGATTGGCACAGCATCCCAGTTACACAGGGCTGTGGTTCCTCGCAGCAGGATACCTGGGATTGGTGATGCGGTGGGACGGTGCAGTAGCCTGTGCTATGGATGATACGATGCTTGAGCGACTATCCGGATGGGGAGGATGGGTAGTGGGTGTAATAGTAACAGGGTTGATCTATTCAACGGTGATGCGCGTGCAAGACGAAGAGGGGATGTTGCGGGACCAGTTCGGGCGGGATTGGGAGGAATGGCATGTGAGGACGGCGCGATTCATCCCATATTTAGTATAGTAGATACTGTTTGATAGATATATATATACTTGAATTGAAGTCAAAAGACTATGTGAATACTATATAATTCCCTGGCCCTAATGCTATAACCAGCCACCGGAACAACTCCGATTCTCCGACTCCGCATCTCCGCCAGTCCCGATGATCTCACCTCTTCATCCTCCGGCTCAAGCTCAGCTCTCCTCTTCCCTTCTCTACCTTCAATCCACTTACCCACTCTCCCCAACAACCATTCAATTGCAGCTCCCACCAAACACCATGGGTATTCTCAAACGCGCCGCCAAGATCACCACCATTGGTGCTGGCATCGGCACGGCGTTCTTCTTCGCAGCCGTCCGTCACAACACCTTCGTGCCGATGCCCACAAGCGACCCTCTCTTCCAGCACCCGCTGTACCAGAAACTCAATCCCAACAACAACCCCACAACCCATGACCTCTGTGTGCGTCGCGTACCACTCAAGGACATCAAGCCCGCCTTGCTGGAAAAGCCAGGCCGACTGACCGAGGCGTTTTGCGCCGGAGTGTGGAGTGGATTCGGTGCGTCACATACACCCACCCACCCAGCCCACTATAAAAACACAATAAACTGGACAAACTATCTAACTCCCTGCTCGAATGATTAAAACAAACAGGATACGCCTATCAACGCCGCTACCTCTCCAAGAAATACGAAGGCCCCGAAACCGCTTCTCACCTCTGGACACGCGCGGACCTACGCGCCGCAACATACGACGTGGGCACGCTGATCACAGATCACTTCGAAGTGGTAGAAAAGACGCCGGAGCGGATTGTCGTGCGGTGCGGAGATTCGCCCCGCAAGAAGGACGTGCGGGAGTCGGATGGACTGTTTGAAATTTCGACGGAGGTCAAGCCCCAAGAGGGAGTTGCGGAGTTCCGCCTCAAGAGTCTGTTTTTCCAAGGCAAGGGCAAGGCGGAGAGTGAGCCGATGCCCTCGCATGTGGTCTGGTTGCATCAGCAGTATACGAAACTGTGGTTGGAGACGGCGTTGGGAAATATTTGGCGGTGATTTACTCATACCTGAGGGATGGAGGCATTTGTAGTGTGAGATGGGCATCTAATAGATCAGTTGCCGCATATATTAATTCGATGGAGACTCGCACCACTAGCTGTCTACTTACCTGTCATGCCCAGACTAGTACTGCAGCTTAACAACCCAAGTAGTGCATACGGAACAAGGACCCAAATTACTATGCAGCGACATCAATACTTGGAGCAAGGGTCACAGGAGCCACCAACAGTTCCAACCAAACCTAAAATTGATCGATATACTTTGTCACGAGATTCAGCAACAAGCCTAGGAGGCACCACCGCTGTGAAGTATACATTGACCAAGGACATTACCCTTGATTAGTATACGTACGAACTAATGCAACCCCGCCTTCCGTTCCCCAAAAATATGGTACCAACGCCAAAGTAAAGAGAAGCAAGGGGAAAAAAGGGGGAGAGTATAACCTGGCAAGTCTGAAAGCCCATTACTGCGGATGTCACCGAGCAGACTATTAGCATGCCTTAATGAAGAACATGTTCCATTGTTCAAAGGTAATTACTAGAAGCAGATCGCGAACCATAGTATTGTTTGCGGCAATATATATATATATATTTATAAGAAGGATTTGGTGTTCTTCTCTTCTTCACGGTAGACTGGTAGTCTACATGTAACGGTACGGTGAGACCGTGTTTACCTCCAAATTTCTCAGAAGGATATTGGCTGATATGGTATCCTGGTGGGAGGTTAAATATGAGATAGAAGATGGTTTGGAATGTTTGTGTTTTGTAGTTGAGCCTAACATATGATCCACAGGCTAGGTAGCGGATAGCATCTTGTCCATTGCTAGAGATGATAGGATATCTTTTGTTTCGAATGGTTGTTGAGACGACGAAGGGTTGCTTGTTCTTACAGGATCTTTTTATTCTGTCACCTACATAGATCCACGCCAAAAAAGAATGGTATAATATAAGGTTATTAATTAGTGGAGTATAACTTTTATACTAATGCAATACAATGTAGCGGGGATATAATCAAGCAGATGTCCATGCACCAGCAGGCACACAGGGGGTATGTATGAAAAGGGGGGAATATGGGTATGATATGGGCGAGGCAAGAAACGACAAAGGTGGGCGGTGGATGCACCAACCCCCACATATACAACGTTTCCTTAATCAACAAGAGACAAGGTAGTAACTGTGCAATCAGGATGAGAGGTTCTATTCAGACCGATGTATGTATGTATGTAATATGGTAATGTACACGCAAACCATCGACAGTCTAGAAGACCA